AAGTCCTTGAAGGGAAACATTTTGCCCCTGTGGAGAGATAAAACAAAAAACGGCAGAAGCACCTACAGGCATCAAAATCAATGAGTTCAAAAGCTGTCCTCAGCAGTGGGGAAAAAACATTTCAATAGGTGTCCAGCATCAAATGGAGAGTACTTTGAAGGAGGCAAGTTTAAACATGTAAGAATACATAATTTTTTATAAGTAAATTTTGGAATATTTTGGGCCACCCTCATAAGTATGACAACACTTCCCATAGAGAATAGGAAGCCCATTCACTGCTGAGAACAGAATAAACTTGTAGGTACAATTACTTTGATGATGAAAAGGTAATAATTACAGAGCTCTAGGCTAGAGGTATTCCTGTGAGTGTTCACAGGGAGGCAGGAACAAGAATAAGAATGCTCACCAAGTGTTATTTCTAATAGTAAAATTTTAGAAACAACCTAAGCATAACATGATATAATCAATGACAGAGTACTGTTGCAATTAAAATGAAAGAATTAGAGCTACAAGTATAATTAATGGTAAAGTTTTAAAGAACATGCTGTTTAATAAGTGCAGAGTTTCAGTTTTGTAAGTTGAAAAAGTTGTGAAGATTGTCTGTATAACAATGTGGATACATTTTATATTTAGAGGCATTACAATGGTAAATTTTATGTTATGTTTATTTTACCACAATTGAAAGAAAAAAACAAAAAATAAACTTTACAGTCATAGAGCATATTAGGATATTTCAGTTAACGATAGACTGCATACACAATGGTGGTCCCGTTTATAATGAAGTTGAGAAATTCCTAACATACAATGAGGTCATAGCATCATAACATAACAGTGTAATGCATTACTCATGTGTTTGTAGCTGGTGCTGGTGTAAATACAATGCACTGCCAGTTATATAAAAATACGGCCCATAAAGTTACAGTAATAGGCTATGTACCATCTGACTGGAGGCATGTGAGAGGCAACCCATCTATCTATCTCTGATACATTGATGTTTCTCCCTCCCTTCCCCTTTCGCTATAGATAAAATAAAATCTTTTAAAAAAAATAAGTAAAAAATTAAAATATTATATACAGTCATTTTAAAGTACATGAATTATATTAAATGTGTATAAGTAAAAAAAACACTTACTAACAACATATATGCATTGATAATAATTATCAAATGATTTCAAAAGCACGTCAGTATGGATCCAAAGACAAACTACAATCAATGTTAAAATTCACTAGGCTTTTTTACCTTATAAAGTTACTAGTAGCATAATATTTTAGAAAATAACATGAGTCTTCCGAAAGTAAATGAAGGAAAGTTCTGCTTTACTGCCCTCCGTTCTGGTCTATGTGCACTTCCTCCTTTGTGGGCCCCATCAGTGGAATTCCTAGTGGAAGTCTTGTCATATGCACACTCAGTCAGTAAAGACAGAAATTTGACTGAATCATTAATCCCCATCACAGTTCTTCACTCAAAATCTTGTCCCATAATCCCAAATGGGCCCATAACCCCACAGCGCTGTTTCAAAAATAGCAGTTATAACCCTACTATAATTAATATCAGCACGAATGATGTAAAAAATGTTAATAATATACAATTACTGGTATCTCTGATATTGAGGTATATGATTTATATATAATTTTTTAAATTAAATGATCCCCTCAGATGTGAAATTACACAAATATTGATTTTATTAAATATTTTAAATTATACTTAAATAATTCACAGAAAAGAATCAGAGGATGATATTCTTCTTCTTAAATGAAGGTTTATCAGGGAAAGCAACTTTAACTTTTTTCTCTAAAACTTACATGAGACTAAAAATTATTTCACCAAAATACATTAAAGTTTAAATTTATAGCAATAAATTAAAATTCAATTATTAAATCACAACATGTTTGTAGAACCAAGTACTTTAAAATGTGGTATATATTCCCCTCACTAAGTGTTTAAGAAACTTCTGAAGACTGTTTTAATCAAATCTAAGACGGCATCAAGTATATGGAAAACCGTTATTTTAAGCAAATAAAGAATACTATCACGTAAACTACATAAGATATACACACTTCATAATGAAATGTCTTAGAATGGATGAAATATGGTAGATAAAAATATATCTGAAAAAAAGATCAAGTCAAACATTGTGCACCTGAAGCACCTGCACTACACCTTCAAACAAAGTGAAAACAACAACAACAACAACTCTGGATCTGAGGATCTTCGAAGTACCTGTGATGGGGGTTGTATCATATATAGGAGAATATGAGTCATGCTACCTAAAAGAATTTTTAGGTTACAACCAAAACCACACTGCCCTCAACTATACCCCAAAACTGCAACTACATGAATAATTCATTTAGAAGTCTATGTACTGTACACTAACTCACCTGGCATTTATTTAATGACTATATTTGAACATAAAATATTTTAGTACTATTTCACTTCAAAACAAACAAAATTTATGAGTAAAACATTATATTGGGTTGTCCAAAAAGGTTGTTTGGCTTTTAAGTAAAAATAAGACACATTTTTTCAATTTCACTAATAACTTTATTGAACGTATTCACCATTTTGTTCTACTACTTTCTGCCATCTTTCAGACAACTTCCTTAATTCCATCTTCCCCAAACTTTTTATTTGTGTAAGTAAAGAACTGTTCCAGGTGCCATTTTCAGTCTTCCAGGGAATTGAATTTTTTCCACTAAAAAAACTGTTTTAAGATTTTATTTTTTTATCTTTAGAGGGAAGGGGAAGGAGAGAGGGAGAGAAATATCAATGTATAGTTGCCTCTCGTACGCCCCCTGCTGGGAACTGGCCTGCAACCCAGGCATGTGCCCTGACTGGGAATCCAACAGTGGTTGTTTGGTTCACAGGCCTGAGCTCAATCTACTGAGCTACACCAGCCAGGGCACCACTAAGAAAATTTTATAAAGACTAAAATAAGTGGAAACCCAAAGGTGCTGTGTCTGATGAATACAGCAGATGAACCAGAACTTCCCAGCCAAGATGTAACAGTTTTTGCCTGGTCAACAGCTTGCATTAAAATTATGCATGTTCTGTTAAATAATTCTGGATGCTTTTCATCAAGTCCTGCTTTTAATTGGTATTATTGGGAGCAGTACTTGTTGGAATGAATAGTTTGATTTTCTGGAAGGAACTCTTTTAAGAGGACTCCCTTTCAATCCCACCATATATACAAGACTGGCCTTTGGTGTGGTTGTTGGTGGTTCATTTTCCTTGCCTCTCCCTCCTCTTCTGTTCCACATTATTATAATGTACCCACTTTTCACTGCCTGTCACAATTTGTTTTTAAAAACAGAACGTTTTCCTTATGCTTAAGAATCACATGTTAAAATATGGTCAAGGTTTTTTTCTACTTAACTTACACGCAACCCCAACATCAAAGTGAGTAACATAACTTCACAAACCACTTTTGACATGTTCTACCAGCCACAGCACCTTCTCCATACACTGCATAAATCTTATTTTTGTTGCATTTTAACCCTTCTTGAAATAGTAAAGCACAATATGCCAAAAATGTTGCCCATATCCTTCCATCTTCAGTATTAAAATGGCTACACAAAAATTCACTAATTTTGATTTTTTAAATGCATGCTGATATGACAGCTGTCACAATACAATCTAACAAAATTGTTTCAAATGAAGTTAAAGAAACCTAAGCACTGCCAGAGCCATCTTATACATCCCCCACAAAATAAACTTTTTGGCCAACCCAAATACAAACGGGAAAAGCTATATTTTACTTAAGCTATTTATTTTCTCATTAATAAACCACTTACATAGAAAGAGTATTGTAAAAAACGTGAGGGGGGACCGGATGAAAAAAGGTGAAGGGATTAGCCAAAGAATACACACACATAACCCACAGACAAGAGTGTGGTGATGGCCAGAGGGAAGGGGGGTGGCAAGAACTGGATGGAGGTGGAACAGGGACATCTGTAATAGTGTCAGTATGAAAGTAAATTAAAATTAAAAAAAGAAAAGAAAATGATGATGACATAAGGGGCACTCAATAAACATTTGATGAATTTATGGCAGATGCCACTTTGAATATTTCAACATTTATGGACCAGTCCTGTAGCAGGTTTTACTGATTCCAAACACAAAGAAATCCCTTCCCCAAGTTCAAATGCAGTGAAGTGAAGACTACGACATAGGCAGATACATTCAAATACAATGCAATAAACTACTGCAGAAGAATTTGCTCAGATACACTATAGATATCTTACTGATTAAGCAAGAATACAGAAGGTATCTAACATTCTCCAGAAAAGCAGCTAACAATGATTATTTCAGAACCAGGAAAGGACAATCCCCTTTGAACAAACTAGGGAGTGAAGGGAAATTATGAAAGCCACAATATACTGTGGTTCCTCTATAGTATGAATTTCTACGTAAAATTAGGAGGGGCATACACTCTATGAGATATGGGATCTTCTGAGAGGGTCCACTTAAATGGGTATTAACTGCTCCCCTCTGAGTCTAGGAAACTAAAGTTAGCTTCCACAGTCAGAAAAACATACTACACAAAACAAGTCCATTATCTCCCCAAATCACTGCTTGTAAGGTAAACATTTCAGAAATTTAAGACTTTTCAATTACTTAAGTAGTATTTCCTGTTAAGAAATAATTACTTACATTAATACTGTTGAGTGAACCAAAACTGATCATTTCGACAGCAAGTGACACTAACATGAAAACACATAGTACACCAAGCTATGCATTGCCTGTGCTTGTCAGTAACATTTTTCAGTAAGAAGACTAAAAAATCTATGGCATAATTCCAGTACTTAAAACGAATAATCTGCCTGGAGTGTGTCTGATATCTGGGTATACAACTTTTCTTTTTTAATGTAAAATTAAACCTCACACCTAGGTGAAGCTTAGGCTCCTCCCCTCTGTCTCAGGATAACCATGTAAAATAATCATAACCAGATCATCAGTTAGAACTTACATAATATCAACATGATGTTTTGTTTTGTTTTTTACCACTTAGACTGCATTCTCTTTCTCTTGCTCTTTCAAAGGAAGAGAAGAACAATCACCAATGGCTATCGGCAGTTGCTAAACCAACACCAAAAGCCAGCTTCACACTCAGGAGAAAACACTGCGCCTCCTCCTTGTGGTTTCAGGCGCTCTACAAGTTCAGGGAGAAACTTCTCTAGTATTGAACTATAGAAATGATCCCTGAAAGTATAGTCTTCAACATGTTTTTAAACAAAAATCCAATTACATTATCAAAAGCAAGACTTTGCACTCTAGTAAAATAGAAAAATAAATAAATTGAACTTGGACTTTATCAAAATTTAATACTTTTGCATTTCAAAGGACACCAAGAAAACATGAGAGAATACACAAACAATATATCTGATAAGGGATCCGCATCTAAAATATATGAAGAACTCTTACAGCTCAACAATAAAAAAGACCAATTAAAAAAATGAGCAAAGGATCTGAATAGACATTTTCTTCTAATAAGATATAGAGAAGGGAGATTTCCACCAAGATGGAGGCATATGTGGAGATGCTGTGCTTTCTCACATAACCAAGTTTAGAGACAACTAAATATTAGCAACAGAAAACACAGCCAGAACACAGAAAATTGAACTTTTCGGAAGTCTGATAACAACAAATTCTTCAGCCTGACCAGTAAGAGGGGCGAAACCAGCAGCTGGCGGAGCACAGGAAAATTTGGTCAGACGAACTCAGGCGCGTGGAACCCAGGCGCAGGGTTGGACCTAGTGAGCGATCCAGCAAGCGACGAGGGGAAACAGCGAGGGAGCAGGGCTGCAGGTTGACTGTGGTCGCGCATTCGTGCGCAGATAGACAAGCGAGGGAGTGGGCGATTAGACAGGACTCAGCAGGCCCCAGCGGTGAGCGGCAGCAGAGGGCGCCGCCATTTCCCCACTCTGACCCCGCCTCCACATACAGAGTCACAACCCAGCGACCCGGGAGTCCAAGGCTTTGCTCCTCCTACTTAACGGGCGCAAACAGACCAAAATGGCTCAAGAAGATCTCAAAGCCCCAGAGCCTATAAATCTAAGCAATGGAAAAATAGCAAAACTCTCAGATGCACAGTTTAAAACACTGGTGATCAGGATCCTCACAGAACTGGTTGATGATAGCCACAAATTAGAGAAACATATGAAGGCTAAACTAATTGAAATGAAGGGAATTGCACAGGAAACCAATAGCGATGAAAAGGAAACTGGGACTCAAATCAATGGAGTGGACCAGAAGAAAGTAAATAATGGCCAAACAGAAAAGAGTGAAGAAGCAAGAATTCAAAAAAATGAGGAGAGTCTTAGGAACCTCCAAGACATCTTTAAACGCTCCAACATCCGAATTATAGGGGTACCAGAAGGAGGCAAGGAACAGCTACCAGTAAAAAACTTATTTGAACAAATAATAAAGGAGAACTTCCCCAATCTGGCAAAGGAAATAGACTTCCAGGAAATCCAGGAAGCTCAGAGAGTCCCAAAGAACTTGGACCCAAGAAGAAACACACCAAGGCACATCATCATTATATTAGCCAAGATTAAAATGAAGGAGAGAATCCTAGAAGCAGCAAGAGCTAAGGGGACAGTCACCTACAAAGGACTTCCCATCAGACTGTCAGCTGATTTCTCAAAAGAGACCTTATAGGCAAGAAAGGGCTGGAAAGAAGTATTCCGAGTCATGAAATCCAAAGACCTACAATCAAGATTGCTCTATCTAGCAAAACTTTCATTTAGAATGGAAGGACAGATAAAGTGCTTCTCAGATAAGATCAAATTCAAGGAGTTCATCATCACCAAGCCCTTATTCTATGAAATGTTAAAAGGACTTATCTAAGAAAAAGAAGTTACAAAAACATGAACAGTGAAAGGACAACAAACTCACAGTTATTAACAACCATATCTAAAACAAAAGCAAACTAAAAGGACAGCTAGATCAGGAGTGGAAACAGAAATGAAGATCTCAAGGAGGGTTAGCAACAGGGGAGTGAGAGAAGTAGAAGGGGGGAGAAGGTACAGAAAATAAGTAGCATAGATAGTAGATAGAAAATAGATGGGGGGGGCAAGAATAGTATGGGAAATATAGAATCTAAAGAACTTGAGACACATGGTCATAAACTAAAGGGGGGGTAATGGTGGGGACGGGGGATAGGGTGGAGGGGAATGAAGGGGGGAATAGAACAACTGTAATGGCATAATCAATAAAAAAAATTAAAAAACAAAAAAAAAAGATATAGAGAAGGCCAATAAGCCCATGAAAAGATGTTCAAAATCATTAGTCACCAGGGAAATGCAAATCAAAACCACGATGAAATACTATGGAACACCATTAGAACAGCCAGATTCTAAAAGTCATACAGTTTTTTTTTTTTTAGGATATGGAGAAATCAGAGGGCTCTTGCTCATTGGTGGATGGAATATAAAATAGTGTCCCTATGAGCACAGGGACACTATTTTAGTGGTGGCAGTTCCTCAAACAATTAAACATACAGTTAGCATATGACCCAGCAATTCCACTATTGGGTATACACCCAGAAAAATGAAAATATATATTCATACAGAAACTTGTACACAAATGTTTATAACAGCATTATTAATAACAGCCAAAAAATAAAAACAACCCAAACCAACAGATGAACAGATAAATAAAATGTGGTAATGAGTATTAATATATGCTACAACATGGCTAAAAACCAATGAACTGTACACTTGAAATAGGTGAACTGTATGCTATGTGAACTATATGGCAAGAAAAGTGTTTTTTTAAAATAAAAAAAAAATGAACTCCCTAAAACCAAATTCAATATTCATTTACAGCTCCATCTCCTGGAAGCTTCCAATTTCTTATGACCCATCATTAGAAGGTGTAATCAAGGACATCACAGAAAAGAATGGCTTTTTTCACATGACCCTGATTGTGGGAACAATTTCAAAATGCCTGGAGAGAAAATGGCTAGGTTACACAGCTGTTACCTAGTCCTCCCAGTCCCCAAAATCTTGAAAAGAAGATTATCCTACCTGATAAACAAACACAATTTTGTCCAGAGGCACTCGATTTGAGGAAGCAGATAAAAGGATGAATGCTAGGGGTGGGGATAATCAGTATTATACATGCTGAAGACCTACATGATAAGCAATCCTGTAAATGTGAACATTAACTCATTAGGTTGTAATTCCTACTTCTGCTACAGTGATGTTCCTATGAAACCCTCACAGCACTCCCTATAACCTCCCCTCAGCTCCCCAAAATGAAATCAGAGAGAAAAATCTCAGATTTATAAGAATCACTAAAGAAACAATCAATACATATATATTTGCCCACAAAATAGCCCTGGATGATGTGGTTCAGTGGATTGGAGCACAGGCCTGTGAACCAAAGGGTCCCCGGGTGGACTCCCTGGAAGGGCAGATGCCTAGGTTACTAGGCAGGCCCCCAGTAGAGGGCACATGAGAGGCAACCACCCACTGATGTGTCTCCCCCTCTCTTTCTCCATTAATAAAATCTTTAAAAATATATTTAGCCACTAAAATCACTTTTCCTAAAGTATTTGTTATTCAACATTCACTCCATACAAGAACATGACTTTTTTAAAAAAATATTTTATTTATTTATTGTTAGAGAGAGGGGATGGGAAGGAGAAAGAGAGGGAGAGAAACATCAATGTGTGGTTGACTCTCATGTGTCCCCTACTGGGGACCTGCAACCCGGGCATGTGCCCTGACTGGGAATCAAACTGGCAACCCTTTGCTTCACAGGCCTGTGCTCAATCCACTGAGCTACACCAGCCAGGGCTTAAGTTTTATTTACTTATAATGCCATTAGACTCTATCAAAAGTGTCTACTCTTAATTCTTAGTAGCATTTATTTATGAAATGACATTATTGGGTTCCCACTAAATGAAAGCAACCAGTAAGTTCAGAATACAATCAGATACAGAAGAAACATCAAAACTTGAAATTAGAAAACTTTCTCTGGGATGGACCCAACATGGCAGAAAACTAAGTGGAAGTTACACTAACCTCCTCCCAGGACCAAACTGGAATTACAAATAAATTAAAGAAAAATTTATCCTGGAAAAAAAAATGAGAAAAAAAAAATACCTGAACACTAGCTGGAGAGAAGCCTTATAACCAAGGAGATGAAGAAAGAAACTGCTCCACCACAACATGAGTGATAGGGAGTGTGGGGGAGGCGCTAGAGGACTGGCTGGGCTCCCAGGAGTAGCAAGTAACTTGCTGGAGGGATACCTCAGCAGCCAGGAAGGTTCCCCCTGAAAAGTGTGGGGTCTAAACCCCAAGCTGGGTTCCCCAGACTAGAGAATGTGAACTGGAAAAGGAACCTAAATAAATTCTGACTGTGAAAAGCAGTGGGTTTTCTGTCCACCAAGGAGAAACTAGAGACACAATGAGTCTCTTAAAGGGCCAATGGACCAAACTGCATTCGCAGCCACTTACGCTGGACACCAGCAAAGGGAAAGCAGAGTGCACTAAAGATGCAAGAGTCTGGGTTCTGTGGCTCTGGGAGGGAATGGAATGGTCAGCCACCAGGAACTCTGTGCTGACTCATTCCCCATAATGCAGAGACCATCTTTCTGGGTCAGAGCACTCCCTTCCACATGGCATTAGCCTGGAGAGAATCAACAGCTCCATTCACAGGAAGCCCTATCACCCTATCCTGTGAAGCTACAGCTGGAGGCTATTCAGTGATCAAGTCTAGCAGCTAAAGCAGACCTGTGGGAGCTCTGAGACTTTAGCTGACCATCTCCCAGGCCTGGTGCAGTTAAAATCCCATCTTGGTGCAGAGCCTGGTTCTTCCTGCACACACACAGGCCCAGTAGAGGGAGCCACACACTGCAGATGACTGACACCCCAACCATGAAGCCCAGGTCCAGTGACAGGGAGTGCCTGACATGGGTCTGCACTAGACTTTTTGCAGACTCACCTAATACATAAACAAATTCAAAGAAACAGCCAAAATGGAAACACAAAAACTGATTCCAAATGAAAGAAAGAGAGGATTCTCCAGAAGAGCTACATAAAATGAAGGCAGGCAATTTATCAGATAGAGAGTTTGGAGTAATGGTTATAATGTTACTCAACAGCATGAAAAAAAGGCATGGAAACCATTAAAAAGGACCCATCAGAAATAAACAATGCAATATTTTAAATAAGTGATACACTGGAAGGAATAAACAGTTGGTTAGAT